GAGAGTGCTTCCTCTTAAATGGGCCTTACGCAGTGCAAATCCGGATATAGACGGGCTCTAATGCGGGTACCGGATACTGTGTGGGTAAACGGGCCTTACACAGCACAAATTCGAATATAGACGGGCTCTAATGCGTATAACGGATACTGTGTGGGTAAACCCAACCTAACGTGTGAACATTTGGACTGACTCGAGTCTTAGGTTTGGTTGACTTTGGTCAAAATCAAATGTTCTATGATCGTATGATTTGACCATCTAGTTTGGTATATTATTTGAAGAGTAGATTTTTCTTCATTCACAATCAAGAAAAGGAAAATCTTCACTTCTAGAACACGATTCAGATTTCAGGCTAACTTTTAGCAACAGTTCAAATATGAAACTTGATCCTTGAGAAGTCTAGCTCTGCCGGTTAAAGTTCTATTGACATAGTAGTGGTTTTGACCAATTAACTTCGTTGGTGGCACTAGTTTGAATCCCTTTTACTTTTTAATATTCTAAGCCACTTTGGTAAAAATCGAGGCCCCTTTACTGTTTCTAGGTGCGGGCAGTTGGCCAATGAATGTGTCTACATGGACTGGAAGTTTAGGCAGTTAAGTTTGGTAAGGGAGAGCCCGTGTCAAAGTGGGCAAACTTTTTTGGTTGTTTGACTACTTAATGTCTGTTGATAGCGTGTGACAACAGACGTGAACTGATCTTCAGTTTCACATTTTATTCTGTTTCCGAGTACAAATCTTATATGCTATTTAAAAATTAAAAGCAAGTATGTATCACAAGCACGAATCACCACTACATACGCATGATTTTGCACAATTGGTTTTAGTTTATTGTCATAATTCGATATTCATGTGGCTTGGATTTGAGTCTACTGATTTTGAGATTTTACTTTCTATCCTAGATTAATATATTTTTTGAATCTTTCAAGCCGTGTCAACATAGTATATATATGTATATATCTTTCTAAAAAGTATTATTTGCACGTATTAAATAAAATTTTCTTGCACCGAGTAAAACATGTCAAATTTAATGATTTTTAAAGGTTTTCTGCCATATATAATTAATTCAAGCATCCATTGTTGGTGGACGGCAAGAATTGATACTTGGAGCTCATGACATGTCAAAAATGACTTTGTTTCTCCGTTTGATTGGCCCAACACACCCAATAATGCTTACGCAAATTCAGAATAAAGAGTTGGTCGAGTCCTAAGCTTTTGCGTCTAAAAGTTGTCACGCAACTTTGATTAACCAAATATTCAATATTAGAAAGATTCCATTTTTCAAAACAGCCCAATAAAAACCTCCCTCCCTATGTGATTGAGGGCTTTGGAGGTTTTCAATTGAGAATTCCAAACAATAGCATTTTTTGTGGTCCAAAACCAAATTTCAATGTGGTCACACTTAAAGCCCAAAAGCCTTTTTCAGGACTTATCTTTACAATTCCTTTATTCTCATCTAGAGTACTAAAAAACAATTCCATCATTGTTTAGAAGAATTAACCCAAATAGTCTAATTATTGAATCTTCTTTGGTGGGGAAATAAGTTATTTCGGGTTTCCCAAAATTATTGTTCCATCCTCTCATAGAGATAAAAATACGGAATAACTAATCCGAGAATTAGTTATACCGGGATCCCAACCAAACAAGGAATAAATTCATCTCAAAGTTAATCCTGAAATTAATTATCCGTTATCTGTCGCACTAAACGAGCCCTTATTATTGGTCAGTTTAGCATGAAAGTTTAGTATGAAATCTAGGGTACGGCAGAATCCACTACGTACCATTATGTATAAATTCGAAAAACTAAGCATATTGATAAAATATATACATTTCCAATGTCAAACCCATCGTATCTAAAATTTGAGGCCGCCATTGATCTTAAAGAATTCAAGTTGATCATAGGTAAAACGGAATTTTATCATTTTGGGAGTGCCATATTCAAGGAGGCCCAATAAAATTAGTGGCCTAAAGCCCAATTTAATAAGAATCCTTAAATTTTTTAATTGATACAAAATGTAATGTTGCCTTTTTTTGTTTTGTTTATAGGATAATAGTATTAAGAGACATTAAACCTTTAACTTCAGATATTATTATTATTATTATTATTATTCATGTTAATTAATAGATATTAACCATATATTTACAATATATTACCTTGGATATTGTTGCAGAATACTTTATTTACTGATATGAAGATTTGATTAATATAATTTAAAATTCTAAATATTTCTTCCGTTAAAAACAAGACAATCTTTCCTTTTTAATAACTATTTCATTATATTTTTAATCTATAAACTTCACCAATATCTAAGTGAAAAAATAATAAAGGCTATAAATTTTGGAGCCTAAAGTAAAAGGCTATACTAGTTCCCTTTGAACCACCCCTGAGTAAAGGAAGCCTTGGCATAAGCTTCTTGTACTAGTGGACACACAACTTGCTTAAAGAGGACGTCCCCATATATAAAGGCGAAAAGAATACTGATTTTAAGCTTTATGTGGCTACTGTCTTGATAAGCTCAAGATCATGATTTTGTTCCCTCCCAATATGCAGTCAAATTGTCTTCTCTGCTCAACTTGNTTTTTTTTTTTTTTGGGTGTGTGTTCAAAGTGCACTTTGGTATTCGTATACAGGAGTGTCGATCTGTTACGACTCAAGCTTATGGCACGTATTGTCTGCTTTGGGTTTAGCTCAGACGCACGTACCATTTGAACTTATGTCATTCCTTATAAAGTTTTAGTCTTGCTTGGTCCGCCGTTATCAGCCTACCCTTCATCATGGACAGCCCGTGTATTCATAAATGAATTCACAATTTTAAGTCTGACTGATATATAGTGTATCACTCCATCCACAATTATTTTGTAGTGAGGGATGCGAATGTAGCAATAAATAAGCATAGAGTACAATTTTAAAAGTTCAATTATGTATTTAAAGTTCAAGTAAAAGAGTTAACATTGTTTAAAATTGCTACATTTCTTACCTCACTGAAAAGATAATTTAATGGGAAACTATTAGATATGTCAATTTATAAGTAGCTCATTACAAAAATTGGTCAATTCATAAAATATTACTAATATTAGCCAATTAGCTAATTGTAGCAAAAAAAGTCAAATTCTTGCTTTCTTTTGAGCGGGTGTTATTAAAATAGATTGGGTACATCTTAAGGAGCTTGAATCTCAGTTTTGGGATGATTTGGTGAAGTTTTGAGGTAGTTTGAATTGAAAATTCAAAGTAAAAACCGAACATGAAAAAAATGATATATGTATCACATTGTGTATTATTTGTGTATCATATTTGTATCAATTGTGTATCACATGTATATCCATGTATACCTGTGTGTGAGATACATGCGTGATAGATGTTTGATACATGTGTTGTAAAAGAATTTTTTGAACTCGATTTAATTACGAATTTTGATATAAAACCAGTCCAAATCACCTCCAATATTCCTCAAATTTTGTATATTGACTTATCTATATGTTTCAATGAATTTCAACTATACCCATTGAAAAAGTTCCTTTTTTGCTTAGATTTTTGGAATATTGTATATTGTTTTTTTGTATTTCATCACCTTATTTGCTACCTCATCCATGAAATTTCCTTTCTGTCTTGCACCTAATGTGGCTAATCACGCTTAAAAATATGGAAGGTGATTTTTGCATGTGTTTTTTTGAGAGAAAAAACCTTATTTATTTGAGTTTTCCAATTTTTATATGTGATTGGCTAATTTTGGCAAATCTATGACTAATGGCTAAAGATTGGTAAGTTGAGACTTATTTGGGACATTTGTGTAAGTTTCTCTTATTTAAACTTCTATGCTTTAATGGACTTAAACATCGATACACTCCTTCGTTACATTGATAAGCATATACTCCTTTCGTCCTATTTTATGTGACATGTATACATTTTATTAGTCAGTCCAAAAAAGAATAATATCTTTTTATATTTATTTCAATCAACTTTAAATTTTTTTATCATAATGAGATGATTTCTAGCCACACAAATTTCTATAATTTGTTTTAAACTAATTTTTTACTTTATTTCTTATGCTCCGAGCCTAGTCAAACATCTTCACATAAATTGGGACGAAGGTAGTATAACCCCAAGTTTATTTCCTACTATATATGGCGCCATTTATTCTCTTTTTGGCAGACGTTTTACAATTTTGCTCACCTTTTTTCTTGTTTTCTATTTCCTTTCCTTTTATTAAGACCAATTACATCTATATTATCTTATCTTAACTATAATCACTTATAATGGGAGTACAATATCTGGCTATATACGACATGTGTTTGTAAAGTCCTCTTATATGCCCTTCATAATTAATCTATTTGTCGCTGGATTGTCAATATGACATATCCAGATATCCTAACTCCTGAGAACGACACATCAAAAAAAAATATATTACCACATGGTCAAGTAAATTTAATTTTTTTTTTGAAACCGCGATAATGAAACATACCTACTCTACTGTTCAGATATTATCCAATTAGGAGTAATATATTACATATCCTAAACTCGTCATCAGAAAAGGAGCTTTTCGCATCTTGCAACTTATACTTTTTGGCTTGAGTTTAAAGCAACAACCTTACCAAGTGAAAAGCCCCCCCAAAAAAATAAAGCATTGACGTCAATACTTCAAGTTAACCTTCTCTTGTATTTTTCATATAATACGCTGTATTTGAAGGAATAATTTACTAATTAAGAAAGTATAATTCATATTGTAATGCACGAATTCGAACCTCAATAATTTCGTAATCATTGCAGTTGAGTTGGATCGTCCTTACTTGTAAATCTTGTGAAAAAACATGTTATAGTATAAATTAAATACAAAGAGGCTTTCTGAGAAAATACAAAACAATATATGTTATCATTGACCACGTGTCCACGACTTAACCATTTTTCTCTCTTTTTTTATTCTCTTTTTTTATTCTTTTTATTAGAGTGGAAGCACATGAACGTAGCAGAGCATCCCTTATATTTAGGATTTAGCTTCTAGACTTCTTATATTAAAGAAGGAGATCTAACCCAAGAAAATAGCTACTCTTTTCCTTTTTTAGGGAGTTGACAATTTACAAATCATTGCTTTTTCTCTCTTTCCATAACCGTCTAACTATAATCCTACATATAGTTGACTTCTCGTCCATAACCATTTTTTTTTGTTTATGAGGAATTCTCTCGTTTTCTCTTAAGGAAGAAGAACAAGAAGAAGATTATAGTTTGATTTTATTTAGTTCTTCGAATTTCTAAATGTTTAAGACATTTTCTATGTCCTCCCGAATGGGAAGAGACTTGCAAAGATACAATGAAGGTTGTCGTCAGGTTGTTGGGTACGTATTTCTTTTGATTCTTGTTATTTTTGAAAGTCAAGAAATTTCAAGTGGGGTGGTTATTTTTATTTTTATTTTTATTTTTATTTTTATTTTTATTTTTATTTTTATTTTTATTTTTATTTTTATTTTTATTTTTATTTTTATTTTTATTTTTATTTTTATTTTTATTTTTATTTTTATTTTTATTTTCATTTCCTTACCTTTTTTATTGGTGTTTTAAGAATAAAAGGTAAATGGGGAAGTTTTTGGATACAAGGGTTATTTTTTTATCCTGTTCTTATATATATTAAGAAATTGATATGATTTTTCTCTCAAATTACATATGGTGCAGATGCATTCCTTATAGATACAGAGAAACTAACGAGTCATCTTTCAATAATGGGGCCAGAATTGATGATTTAGAGTTTTTATTGATCAGCTCACAGAAGAGTCCAAGAGTAATGTTCCCTAAGGTAGACATATATCTATAACAAGTCCATCAAATTTTTCTATTGATTTAGCTAATTGGATTATTGTTTTATCGTTCCTCAATTGAGCTAAAGTTGCTGACATGTGATCAGGAGGTTACGGGTTCGAGCCATGAAAATAGCCTATTGCAGAAATGCAGGGTAAGGCTGCGTGCAATAGACCCTTTTGGTCTGGTCTTTCCCGGACCCCGCACATAGCATGAGCTTAGCGCACCGTACTGTCTTTTTCTTATTTCTCAATTGACATTATTGGTTTTGCAATGAATTTACAGGGGGGTTGGGAAATTGATGAGTCATTAAAAGATGCAGCTTTACGAGAGACCTTTGAGGAAGCTGGGGTTCTAGGCGAGGTTGAGGTTCAGGTTTGTCTCTGCATCTTAAAGTTATAATTATCTGTGTAAGATTAAGCGCGAGATTTAGAAAACCTTTAGTTTTTTTATTAAAAGACAGATAATTTAGTAGTGGAATGAAATGAACCTGATGAAATGGATACTAATGATTCATGTAGTTGATTCCGATTAATTAAAAATGTGATATTAGTTGATTGATTTTCTTGTGTATATAAGCCTTTTGCTATTGCTGGTTGAATGCAGGACTATTTAGGTACATGGAGTTTCAAGAGCAAAAGCCAAGGCACATTTCATGAGGGGCACATGTTGCCTTTGCTTGTTACTGAGGAATTAGATGATTGGCCTGAGAAAACTGCCCGTCGACGTTTCTGGGTTTGTAAATTTTGGATCTCCGCTATCTTGCTATTATCCTTTTGATCTCAATTTCTTAGGTTAGATAATGCAGACATATCCAAAATGTACAACAACAAAACCCAGTGTAATCCCATGAGTGGAGTCTGGGGAGGGTAGTGACATACTCTTGACGTATATCTTTACAATTTTTTATAAATTTTGGATGCATGTATATAGTTTGAGGTGCATTGCCCTAATGCTCGATTTGCCTTTGTAAGTAGCATGTTTTGATACGTAGTAACTCTGCTCACTAAGCTTTAGGCAGAGCGTGATTATTTATTGATGGACAAAGCTATCATGTACCTGTGCTGGTGGAAGCTTCGATAAAAGAATGTGTTTTGATGTGGTGTTTGATTAAATTTGCAGATGAAATTTAATGAAGCTAGGGAAGTATGTTGGCATCCATGGATGAAGGAAGCTTTAGATGTATTTGCTTCTAAGCTTGCAAACAGAAACAAAGAAGAGCCTCAGACATCATGCCCTTTCGAGGAATTGCCAGATAAAACAATGACAAACATTGATACTGAAGTAGCTAACCAAATGTACAATGATGAAACAAGAATGGAAGCTGAAGTTAATCCGTTGACATGTGAAGAACCAAGCATAAACCCAGTCTTCGACGATGAACAGATAATTAGCACTGTAGCCGATTCCATGCTCAACGAGACATTGTTCAGTGAAGAACTTGGAATTAGCCATGTAGCTGCACCAATGTTCAATGAAAGTAAAAGAATAAGTATTATCGCTCACAGCTAGCAACGAAAGAAAAAGGAGAAACGTCAGCAAGCTTAAGAAGCATTAGAGGCGAATCTAGAATTTAGACATTGTGGGTTCTGAGGTAAGGGAGTTGGTTCTGAAATGTATATCATTCTATTTTCACACATACATATATAGTTAGCACCGGTTCTGCCAAACGTGGTGAACTAGTCATTTGATCCGCCACTGAGAAACAAACTAGGCATTGTACCTTGAACCAAGGATGAAGATAGGATGCCTATCAGTAGAATTCTCAAGGTGCCAGGAACCAAGAATGAAGATAGCATGTGTAAAATGTAAATAGATTAGGAACTTAAGGGTACATAGTCTTTCTTTTGTTCCTTGTTGTAAATACTCCCTGACCAATATATTATGAATGTAGAGACTGACATATTATTTATGGTTTTACTTCCAATCTCTGTATCTTCAATCTGCAAAGAGAAAAAAAAACCTCAGAATCCTGTTTGATAGAAACCTTTATGATTTTGGAAGCTCAATGGCATTGATCACACCTGCGGCGCAAAGAATGATAATACATTAGCGCCCAAGTCCTTCTATTGACTGTGAATTCAAGCAATAGAAGAAAGAGGTTAAGCTTGACAATGGGTTTCTTGTGGAAGTAGAAAAATTTGAGGACATGAGTTCATTTAGGGGCAAAGAGAGTTAGAGGGTTTCATCTACAAAATTTGCTGACTTCATTCTTTTTTTGGTAATTAAATTTTTCATTAAATAACCCCTAAGAGTCTGCGAAACAACAGACCTTTCGTAAAGAACAAAACCAAAGATCACTACAGCCACCTAAACTACTCCTGGTTGGAGAAGAAGGAACCAAGCTACAACAATAACAACCCAATATAATCTCACAAGTGGGGTCTGGGGAGGGTAGAGTGTACGCAGACCTTACCCCTACTCAGAGGGATAGAGATGCTGTTTCTGAAAGACCCTCGGCTCGAGAAGAAGAAAAATAAACAATAGACAATAGGTCAGTGACAGCAATAGAAGATAAAAAAATTAACAGCATCGTAAGAAATAGAAAAATAGATGTAAAAGTAATAAATATAAACAACAATATTACCATAGAAAATAGTGAGGAAACTACATAAACCACTAACAACCCACAGCGAAACAACAATAGGCCAGCCCCGCCCCCGGAACAACCCTAATGCTCGACCTCCACCCCTTTCTATCCAGAGCCATGTCCTCCAAGATCTGAAGTCGCGTCATGTCTTGCATGATCACCTCACCACAATACTTCTTAGGTCGTCATCTACCTCTCCTCGTACCTGCCAATGCTAACGTCTCGCACCTCCTAACCGGGGCATCTATGCTTCTCCTCCACACGTGCCCGAACCATCTAAGCCTCGCTTCCCGCATCTTGTCGTCCATGGGAGCCACGCCCACCTTCTCCCGAATATCTACATTCCTAATCTTATCCAGCCTAGTATGCCCGCACATCCATCTCAACATCCTCATTTCTGCCACTTTCATCTTCTGGTTACGGGAAGAAGAAGGAATCAAGCTATGGATAATAGTTCATTCTTCTCAGGCACCCTGTCACTTTTACTTTACAGCTACCTCTACCATGGATCTCCTGGGCCACCAACTTCACTAGTTGGTCTTCAGTTCTTTTGCTATTTTGAAATATCTTATTATTTCTCTCTTGCCAGATGAAGTAAGTGCAGCATGCCAAGATGATTCTATATACTTCTGCTTCCGCCCCTTTCCCTGTAGCATGCTTTTCAGTCCAAACTTGCTCTCCAGGCCATTTGTCAGCTTTCCTATCTATCCCCTGCTAATGTAACAATCTTTCCCAAATGAAAGAACATGTGAGCTATGGTTTCATTCTCAATATCACACAAAGAACATACAGTATCTTTGGTGATGCCCACTTGGCCAGTTTGTCTATTGTTTACAAATAGCAGCTTTATTCCATATGGCTATATCAATAATATTCATTCCTCCAGTTGTTTGTGGCCAGCATACTCTATCCCAGGCTAATAAAGCCTTCTTTTTGTAATTTCAGCACCCCCAATCCATAAAAATCTCATACAAACAGCCTCAATCAAGTTGATCACTTTTTGGGGCAACACAAAAATTTGTGACCAGAAGGTTTGTATAGAGAACAACACACTCTTTTATTATTTGTACCCTGCCAGCATAGGATAGGAATTTGGTTGTCCAAGAAGTGACTCTGCCTAACATTCTTTCAATTAGTGGATGACATTGCATAGTGGACAGTCTCTTGGTGCTGAGTGGAACCCCAAATACTTGACCTTTGTTGAACCCCAAGCTTTTTATTATGTCTTGCTGACTTCATTCTTTAATTCATTGTTTGAGGTTTATACATTCTTTGATATTTGTGAGTACACAAATTAATCTCATTCCTAACATTTCAGAGATCATGGACACTTAATTATTCGAAATTATCAAGTAAAGTCATGTTTCTGTTGTTTGTAATAGAGACCTGACTTAACTATTTCAATAGCACTTAGAAGGTCATTCAACTAGATTTCTCACAATTTTGGTGGTCAAACACCATTTTACCCTCTAAATTATCAACCTTTATCTTTTCTTGAGAAAATGAATAAATGAATAAAATAGTTTTCGGGCATATATAATGTTGGAACAAAATAATTAAGTTTTCAAGCATATATAATATATATTATACATATGCCGTAATCTTAAATAATTATTATTTTTATTATATGCATGGATTATTTCCTTTAAAAGAATTTATTCTCTTTCATTCTCAATTGTTTAAATAACTGTTTGAGTTTTTATTGTTATTATGAAAACCATTGATACGAACAAATTGTTCTAGTTATATTTTTCTTATTGTAATCAATTATTTTATTCATCAATTTCTGGTGCTTAAACTCTTATTTTATAACTCAAACATAATTTTTAATAAAATATTTATGTGACTTAAAAAAATTCCTCATTGAAACAAAGGTACGCGCACAACACCCGGATGTTATGATTAGTTAGATAATAGTATAATAGAGGGGTGAAGGAATTGATTAGTTTCAGTAGCATTTAATAGATTGAGCCAAATTTGCTGTAAAATCAGCATCCCAATTATAAATTCACCCGGTTCAAACACGACACATTAATCCCAATTCTCCTATAGAGATCTTAAATATAATTTGTAGTCTCAGACAGTGTTTTAAAAGGTATTTTCGGGGCGAGACGCATCAAAAACGTCCCGAGGCGATGGTGTGGGGCGAAAGTCTCAAGAAGTGTACGCTCAGTAATTCGGAGCGTACGACCGGGCGTTTGAGGCGCGTTTTTTAACGAGGCGTAAGCTTCAGAGACTTTTTCAAATTAAAACAAAATTTGTTGAATAAGCCCTTCATATAATACCCAAATTCTTAAAATTCAGCTTGGTAATTACTCAAAAGTTTTAAAAAGGAACTGAAATGTATTAAATTTAAAAGTCAAGACCTTTTTTTTATTGATTGAAGCCCTAATTCATGGTCTTTCCCAATTTTTTATCTTGTCCACTAGTCTGTTAATATCTCCCAAAAGTAACGAATATTCAGTTATTATTTTTTTACAAATACAAAGAGAATTCTATTCTCCTTCGTAGCAGGGAGTTCAAAGTTCAAATTGCAGCTTAGTCATCCTTTTTGTTTCTCCGTGTAGAAAATTTTATTCTTTTCGACTCAAGTTACCCGTGCTTCTAAGTAGCATATAATAGATTATTTTGACTAATTTTTTGTGGGGATGTAACACATCTATATGTATATTTTTCACATATTTATAATTTTTTTCAAATTTTATGTAATTTTACATGTTTATAAATATTTACTGTAATTATATTATTTTATAAAATATTAAAAATTAAATACTTATGGGACTTACGCCTCGCTAAGATATATCTAAAACCACCGTCCTTCCCACCACTTTTAAAACATTCGTCTCAAACTACAAACTGCAGGAGGTCTTAAATCATATGATTTCCTTAAATGATTCCCCGACATGTTTGCGGGAAGTTCACGAGGAGGACATGCCCTATTTTGCAACAACAATAATATGTTAAAATACTAACTCAAGACATGGTTGATCGATAGGAATGAACGAATATATATAAAAAGTTGGGACTTGGCAAGGTCACGTGGCATGCTTCTTTGACTTGGAATATCTTTTTTCTCCATTTTTCAAATTTCCTTCTATTTTTAAAAGACTTTATCTAATAAATCAACCGTTTACTTTAAAATTTAAGGAACCCAAACGTTTTCTAACGTACAGAGACACATCAGTTCGAAAACGTACGGACAAATATTCATGTTGGACCTATTATTATATTATAGTGTTAATATATACGAATAGTGTTGAGTCCCACAAAATTGGAGGAATGGGTGGTTTCCTTATATGGATTCCGCAATCTTCACCTCTTGAGCTAGTTTTTTGGGTTAAGTTAGGCTCAATGTCCATTTAACATGGTATAAGAGAAGGACCCATCCCTATTTTCGTGAGAGGGGGTGTTGAGTCCCACAACGACATTGAAGGGGATGTGTGGTCTCTTTATATGAACTTTGACAATCCTCACATCTTGAGATAGTTTTTGAAGTCGAGTTAGGTGTAATGTTCATTTAACAAATAGTCATCAGTTTTCTTCCGTCAAGAGTCATATCACTCGCAACTTTCAACAAAATAGAAAAGTATTTCTCACTGGAATTTACCACATGCAGGGTATCGATTCTTTCTTACTCCATATAATACAGGAATTTAGGTGGGGTTTGAGTTTACTTCATATTATTTGCTTATTTGCACTTCATATTATTTATTTATTCACATCTTTAGAAATCCCGATCCATCTGAAAGCGGTATCAAATTTGAATAAAGCTAATGCACATTGCAGAGAAACAAGGGAACACAGATGCTGATGATTCAAATGAATTAAATTTTGACAAGAGTTCCTCGTAGCTTTGGAATATGGAACGCCTACAAAGATGCTGTTGTAGGGTTTTGGCATTTTAGTTAAAAAACTGATAACGTTTTAGTTTGAGTCTATTTTTAAGTTTTTCGTTTCATTTTCTTCAATTCTCCAGTGGGGATTTTATATGAAAATTTAAAGAGATTGTATTTTGTAAGGATAAATTTCTGAGATGATGGAGAATTTTTAAGATGTTTAGCGTGATTTTTAGACGAAAAGGGATTGTGCAGATTTACGGGGTGATTTTGGATTTTATTAGAAAATCGGCACGTAAGAATGGAAAAATAAAATAAAGAATAAAGTAAAAAAGGAAGGAAGAAGAAAAAAGAAAAGAGAGAGAAAGAATAGAAGATAGTCGGAGGGCCTCCATATTGTTGTCCTAAACCAGATATCATCTCATTCTTTGCTTGTGTGAGAATTGTCATATTTTGCGCCTGGAGTGGGTAAGACTTATTTATATACATCAAATGGTAATATTGTGACTTATGGAATAAGATTAATAATTTTGTGAATTGTTATTTCTGCCATTTCTGAAAAACTAAGCAAGGCATATAACTTGGCAAAGCTGAAGATGTTGTTAACATATCTGTATAACCTTATTAAAATATTTGTTTTGAGTGGACAAGTAACGTAACAAAAACTTATTCATAAGCTATTCTTTTGCCAACAAATCCTTGATTGTTATTAATTGATTTGCTAACTGCTAATAAATCATTAATTTAATCCCAAAAGCTAAGACCTTAAAATTAAGAGATGTAATTGGGATCAAGGCTTGCTTTAAATTAAACTTTTTTTAAATATCATATAGATACATGAATTGAGACCTTTTTTTAGGGGGAAAAGAAGAAGGATGAAACTGGCGAAAAGCGTCATTTTCCTTTGGGAAGCTAAACACGAGAAATACAAAAGAGAAAACTCAATATACTGACTTTAATTTTTAAATTACTTTTAAATTAGACAAAGACGAGAAAATATGTCTCTTTTATTGCCTTTGCACAGTATCGAACATCTAATAAAGTAATTTATGCATAATTCATGCAAAAGAAAGAATTAAACGAATTTCTCCTTTTTTTGTGAAACCAGACACGATATACAAGATATAAAACGTTAAAAATTAGATCTTCACAACTTATTTTTTGAATTTTTAAAACTATTAATTATTAAAAAGATCAATATAATAATATTTTTTATAATCGCGCGAAGCGCGGCAAGTTCACTAGTACTTAATAAAAGAAGGATTAATTGGCCATTTAGTAAAATTAGTAATTAACGGCCAATCATCATTTGTAAGGTAATTATAAATAAATTTCTATCATAAGCATTAATTGGCCATTTAGTAAAATTAATAATTAACTAACTTGCTATCACGCGTTAACTTACATTAATAGTATAAACAATCCTTACATTAATACAACTTTCAGTTTGCTTGCACATGCAATTAAATTGTCGCAAATAAGCTTCTCTAAGTTTATTTACCAGATTTACCTGTTTTGCTATATACATTGTCTTGCCTTGCTAGTTTGCATTATTGTGAGTGTAAATTTTGTTCCTCATTATTTGCTTTTTGTATCCACCTATCTTTAGTTGGTAAATAAGACTTTTTCATCCAGTACATGGGTTTTCTTTCGTTCTTTTATAAGAAATCAAATCAATTAGTTGGATTCCTTGTACTTAACATAACACTCGATTGAACAAACTAACTTGTAATAATATTGTCAAATTTGTCGTTCATAAAACAAACACCTTAGAACATTTCCTTCAGAGAGCGATAGATTTAGGCTAATGCACATATTATTTTGTTGACTTTTCCACTATACTTTGCACTCACTTTATTTCTACACTGGTCATGCCATTATGAAGTTGGTAAGCAGGTGTTTACAACGACAACACCAACTCAATATAATCCCACAAGTGAGGTATGGGGAGGTTAGAGGCTGTTTCTGAAAGACCCTCGGCTCGAGAAGAAGAAAAATAAATAATAGACAATAGGTCAGTGACAGCAATAGAAGATAAAAAATATTAACAGCATCGTAAGAAATAGAAAAATAGACGTAAAAGTAATAACTATAAACAACAATACTACCATAGAAAATAGTGAGGAAACTACATAAACAACTAACAACCCACGACGAAACAACAACAGGCCAGCCCCGCCCCCGGAACAACCCTAACCTACAACCCTAATGCTCGACCTTCACCCCTTCCTATCCAGAGTCATATCCTCGGAGATCTGAAGTCGCGCCATGTCTTGTATGATCACCTCGCGCCATGTCCTCGGAGCCATGTCCTTGGTAAGCAGGTGTTTGATGTCGGAAAATATTAATCTACTCCTGAAATTTACTCCAAATAAATGTAAAACATGACATGTATCTTCACCTACGCTATTATTAGTAAGCAAAAAGTTAATTTACTACTACTTATCTAATATAGTATATTAATAAGATTTAGTGTTATAGTGTATATATCATGTGCAATTAATTTTTTACAATTTTGATGTTTTATACTTCAATACCACACAAGAGAGGTGATTTGTGTGGTGTCCAATTTTTCGCTTGCACTGATTATAGAAGGACTTGGTTCATTTATGTGTTCCTTATACTACTGTTGCGGAATAATAAATGCAGAAAGTAAAGAACACAAGTATTTTTACGTGGAAAATACCTGGCTCAAAAGGTGAAAAAATAACGACCTACTACCCGTAGGATTTTTCCAATACTTCACTAAATTACTGAGCCAAAAACAACGTTTACAAAACTCTTGTAAATTTAAGGATTACCTCTAACCCTTTGTGGCAACCACCTCAAGCTGTTGCGACAACTTCAAGTTAACTCTAACTTGAATACTACACTCAGAGTACCTAATACAAATGCTTCTAGATAAAGTTGAAAGGTACAACTCAAAAGTCTTACTACAATAAAACTAGAATAAAAGACAGTCACATAGAACTGGTTCTTCTATCTGGTTCATGTTAGGGGTGTTCAAAACCGAACCGAAACCGAAAACCGAATCGAAACCGAAGCTTAATGGCTTATTGGTATCGGGTTAACGGTTTAACAGACGGGGAATGAATTGAAATTTNTATTAAATATCAAAAACCCTTCCACTTCTTCCAGTGCCTAAACTTCAACCAACAACCACCAGTAGAATTATGGTTCTCTTGATTCGACCATAATTCAACCAGCTTCAGTAGAAACTCAACTAGCAGCCACCCGCAGTGCTCTATCTCGTCGACTTTCAGGCTTCCAGCACTCTATCTTAGTGCCCTAGTATGAAGAGCAAGCTCATATTGTAAATATGGCTCTAGCACAGCCTTTGTATTGATTATTAATATATTGTTACCTTTCTAAGAGAAATGAACAAGAAACATAGGAAAGGACCACACGTTTATTGTAATTTTGCTTTGTTTGTGCTATGAATAAATTAATAAAAGCTTAGATACCATTATATTTAATGAGCTAAACTATTAAAATTGTTCATTTACATCTAAACCTAGGTAATCACATAGTTATCTCAATAAAATTTGATATCCTTGTATGATCCATGTTATAGATAGCAAGAGTTACAGTGGCATATCCATTAGAACTACTTTTTCCTTAATTACATCATATCATAGTTACAGATGACTAATCTGTTAAACAACTCATACATGGCTTGTATAAATACCTGTTAAGCAACTTGTTATTCTCATTCCTTTTCTTTTCTTGTTGCAGTGACTCATACATGGCTGAAAATATACAAAGTGATAAGGTGATGATGGGTGAAAATGGAAATTCTAATTCAAATGCAATAAGTCAAGCTCAAACAACGGAGTCAAATATAACCAAAAAAAGAAAAGAAAAAAGGTCTGTTGTATGGGATAATTTTACAGAAATTATTACTTCTGAAGGGAGTACAAAAGCAAAATGTGACTATTGCTTTATTGAGCATTGTTTTAAGACCAAAGATGGTAAGTCGACACTTCTTATTCATATGAATAAGTGTCCTAAATGCCCTGCTATTGTTGATAAAAACAATCAAATTTAGGCTTTCAATCTGTTCCGGAGGGTAGTCAGGGTGACGTAGCTGTTGTTACTTAGAAATTTGATCAAGAAGAATGTAGGAAGACGTTATGTCGTATGGTAATAGTTGATGAGCTTCCTTTTAACTTTATTGAGAAAGAAGGTTTTAGAGACTTTATGAAAATGGCGCAACCTTATTTTCTGATCCCTTCCCGTAGTACTATAACTAGGGATTATTTTGATCTTTTTAATGAAGAAAAATAAAAGTTGAAGAGGTCTTTTATAGAAATAAAATAAAGAGTATGTATTACCACTGATACCTGAACTTATATACAAAGAATCAATTACATGTGTATCACTACCCATTGGATTGATAGTGAATGGAATATGCATAAGAGAATAATTAATTTTTGTCCTATTGTTAATCATAAAGGCGAAGATATGGCAAATGGTATTGGTAGGTGCTTACGTGAGTGGGGGATAAATAAGATCTTCACTATCACAGTTGATAATGCAAGCTCAAATGATATGACAGTAAAAGAATTGTCTAAGCAATTAACAAAAATGGAAACTAATTTGATGAATGGTACTCACCTTCACATGAGATGTATTGATGTTCCATGCAGTGAGATATGTTAGGCAGTCTCCTACGAGATTGAAGAGGTTTCAAGAATGTTTTGATGATGAACAACTCAATTGTAAAAAAAAACTTTATGCTTAGATGTTCCAACTAGGTGGAATTCCACCTACTTGATGTTGCGCAGGGCTGTTGAATTTGAAAGTGCATTTTCACATTATGCTTCTAGTGAAATTGGCTTGAGACATTATCTTGAGCATTCTTATATTGATGTTGGAATTCCTGCAGGTGAACTTTTGAGTAGTGATTGGGAGAATGTAAAAAGAATTACAATGTTTCTTGAAATCTTCTATCTTCTTACTTTTAAGATATCTGGATCACGTTATGTTACATCGAATATTTATTTTCTTGAAATTTGTGCAGTTGCTGTTTATTTGAAGCAATTGATAGCAAATGAAGATACAATTTTAAGTGAAATGACAAAGAATATGAAAGAAAAGTTTGATAAGTATTGGGGTGATCCAGAGAAAATAAACAAGATAATTTTTATCTCATGTATTTTGGATCCACGCTACAAGCTCGAATCAGTTGGCTATGTACTTGTAAAGATGTTTGGTATAGATCTGGGGGTAACTATATAAGCAGAAGTGACGAAGTACATGACTTCATTATTTAGTGAGTATGTAAAGTCCAGCTCAAAAGGTGTCGTGCTTGCTTCATCTTCAGATTGTTCTTCATAGGACACTTCGACTTCCGGGCTTTCTGGCAGTCAAGCAAGCACCCAAAATATAAGACTTTTAGAATTACTCATGCAATATATAAAAAAATATAAAAGTGGGAGTGGAGGTGTTGATACTAGAACAGAGTTAGATAAATATTTAGGTGAAGAAACTGAGGATGACACTAAAGAATTTGATGTTCTTCTTTGGTGGAAATTGAACTCAGCTAGATTTCATATTCTTGCGGAGATGGTTCGTGATGTATTAGCTATTCTGATTTCAAGTGTGGCATCCGAATGTGCGTTTAGTACGGGAGGACGTCTTCTTGATTCATTTAGGAGTTCATTAACTCCTAAATTGGTGCAAGCTCTAGTGTGTCTTCAAGATTGGCTTCGAAATAAAAAATTAAAACAACCTGTTAGTATTGAGGAAGATCTTGATAAAATCGAGCAGCTTGAATAAGGTAATAATATTGTTACTATATTTGTTGTATATAAGTGTTGTTGATATGCTTATATTTATCGCACGACTCATTATTTTAATTTTTTTCTTCAGATTTAGCCAGCAATGGAAAAGACCCTTCCATAATTGACGTGTAGTGTTAATATATCTGGTAAGAATTTGAATTTAACTCATCAAGGCTTCAAGTATTTGTTGTATATAAGTGTGTATTTACTTTCTTACGTACTATGCATCAGAGGATCCCAGGCTTGGCTTAGCTTAGTTTATTCTCACACCCTACAATAAGATTGTTTAAGCTGTTGTCTATGGTTCACCTCTGCTTTTGTTTTTTTAAACTAATGCCTAATGTCTATGTTTAATAGAAGAAAAACAGTGATGTGCCACAACTTTTATCCCATAATATTGACGATAGTAGTGTCTTGAATTATGTTATGGGGAAAGAGCGCATCTGCATTTCCTATAAATTGTTTACTGCTTATAATTCATCCCTATTTCTATACGTAATTGACTTTTGCTCGGTGTTGTTTGTATGGTTAATGATATAGCGTGAAATACATGGTTGAGAGTTTAAGTTAGAAATTGTGGGCATAACTGGAGTTGGTGCAAACTGGAACCTTCTTTTGTTTGGTTTTGGTTTGTGACTTGTGCTTCGACTTCTGTTCAGATGCTAACGTATGCTAATGATACTGTGAAAAAGGGGTACTTTTACGTTCACCTTTCTCTATTCTGAAATGGTTTGTGTGGTCTTCAACTCTTCTTATTGCCTCAAGACCGTAGTATTTATCAGTCTCTACTTCGTTGCCTAATGCTGAAATTTGGTGTATGCATATTTTTTATAGGGATCTGCTCACTTATGGATTAAGCTTTTGTTTGAACTTTGAAGCTGCAGAAATTCAAGCACGGTTAGGCGTTAGATGTAGGCCAAACATTTATGTGTAGTCTGCTCACTTATGGATTAATCATTTTGAAATATGTATTCTGGACTCACTTTGAATATAGACTGGAATTTCCTATTCTGAATTTGTATGCTAGGCGTTTTATACATATGTATGTCTAGACTCATGTAATGTAGTCTACTTTGGGATTTAATGGTAGGCGTTAACAGATATGTATGTCTGGACTCATATGTAGTCTACTTTGGGATGTAATGTAGTCTACAATGTGTTCTGCTTTTTCACTCTACAACACATGACACACTACATCATTCTTATGTAGGCGTTAACAAACATGTATGTCTCGACTCAATGTGTAACTTTCTATTCTGAATTTGTATGCTAGGCGGTCAGCAAACAATTAATGCACGCAATATAGATTGAATTAGGCCGATAAACCACCTGAAAACTGCCCGATAAGAGCTAAACCGATACCAATCTGCCCGATATCTTATCGAGTGGCTAGCAGATTAATACATTTAAAAGTCGATAACCGTTAAGCCAAACCATTAAGAGTAATTAACCGCCCAATCCGCTCGATAAGCAGCCCTAGTTCATGTAGCTTTAAGCTCGCACACTTGAATTACTTGCAAAATATCTTGCTATTTTGCTCTCAACTCTTGCTTAACTTCTGCATTTGTGCGTTACTTGTAGAAGAGAACAAAGTACTCCCTCCGTTTCAATTTATGTGAACCTATTTCCTTTTTAGTCCGTGCCAAAAAAAATGATCTCTTTCCCTAGTTGGAAAATATTTTCCTTTATGCAATGATTTATAGCCACACAAAATATATATGCTTCATTTTACACCACAAGTTCAAAAGTCTTCTCTCTTTTCTTAAATTCCGTGCCCAGTCAAATGGGTTCACATAAATTGAAACGGTGGGAGTAATATTTATTGAGTTAGTAGAATATGATTAACTAGAGTTCTAATGCTAAGGAAGAGTTCAATTTATCTTCTAACTTCTAACTCCTCCCTTATCTAGGATAGAGTTCTCTTTAAGTAAGGAGTCTTTCTCCTTATCAAATATGCAACATTTTTGTTGAGGAGACATTCAGTATAACCATTTATGCTGATCTCCTTAACACGCATGCCTTGTGATGGACCTGGTTCATGCGTGTGTTTCTTTGTCAATCATAAAAAAAAACTTACTCAGGGCAACAAATCCAACAAATTGATATCTCAAATGCAATCACGATGTCTCCTGCAGTNATATATATATATTGAATCACCTTGACTTCTCCACATGTTTAAAAAAACATTAATTTTTTGAACCTTCTTTAGGAAAATTCTAGTTCCGACTGGTCTCCTCCTGTTGTTGTCACAGAAACATGAAGGTAGCCACCAAAAAAGAAGGCTAGTTTTGCAAAAAGGGGAAGAGAAGAGAGCAATCATTTTTCTTCTTCTTGAGTTCTATCTCTTTGAATAGTGGTGTGATGACCTAAAATGTCATTTTTAAATTTAATAAGTAATTCTGTGTTCTAAGACCTTGAAAAGCACCATTTATCATTCCTCGACTTACGTGTGCAGTCCGTATAATTTTTCGGAAAGTTTATATATATATATATATATAAGGTATTGAATCACCTTGACTTCTCCACATATTTAAAAAACAAATTAATTTTTTGAACCTTCTTTAGGAAAATTCTAGTTCCGACTGGTCTCCTCCTATTGTTGTCACAGAAATATGAAGGTAGCCACCAAAAAAGAAGGCTAGTTTTGCAAAAAGGGGAAGAGAAGAGAGCAAGCATTTTTCTTCTTCTTGAGTTCTATCTCTTTGAATAGTGGTATGAAGACCCCAAATATTATCTTTAAATTTAATAAGTAATTCTGTATTCTAAGACCTCAAAAAGCACCATTTATCATTCCTCGACTTACGTGTGCAGTCCGTACAATTTTTCGAAAAGTTTTTATGTGAAAAATAGATTAAAAATGTGAATTAGAGCTTTAAAACTCAAGTAAGTTGACTTTGGTCAATATTTTGCGCAAACGGACCCGGATCAGTGTTTTAATAATTCCAGTAGGTCCGTATCGTGATTTGAAACTTGGGCGTATCCCCGGAATCGAATTCCGAGGTCCCTAGCCCGAGATATGGAATATTGATGAAAAATTAAAAGCTTGAAAGCTTAATGATTTTTAAGAAATTACTGATATTGGATTTATTGATCTCGGGTCCGTATTTTAGTTTCGAAGCCCAGTATAGGTCCACTATAATATTTATGACTTGTTTGCCAAATTTGGTGAGAATCGGAGTTGATTTGACGTGATTTGGACTCCCGGTTGTAAAAATATAAGTTTTAAAATTTTCTTGAAAATTTCCTTTGATTGGGTATCCGATTCGTAGTTCTAAGCATTATTTTGGCGATTTGATCGCGCGAGAAAGTTCATATTATATTTTAGAACTTGTGTGCATGTTTGTTTTGGAGCCCCGAGGGCTCGGGTGAGTTTCGGATAGGCTACGGGATGATTTAGGACTTAAGAAATCTGATTTTCTGCAGACTTCAGGCTTCTGGTGTGTTCTTCTTCACGTTTGCGAAGGTACTCTCGCGAACGCGAAGAGTAAATTGGGGCTGGCATATTTTGTGCTTCGCGTTCGCGACATAGTGACCGTGTTAGTGAAGGCTTGAGGTTCAAAGCTTCGCCTTCGCGATAGAAGCCTCGCGTTCGCAAAGGGAAAGAGACTGGCCAGGAAAAATTAGCCTTCGCTTTTGCGAAGGGCATCTCGCGTTCGCGAAGGCCAAGCCAGGCATGCACCGCGTTCGCGAGGTAGCCCTCGCGTTCGCGAAGAGTAAAATTTGACAGCACATAATTGTGCTTCGCGAACGCGAGGCACTGACCGCGTTCGCGAAGGGTAAAAATATCAGAAACAGAACTTAAGTTCTAGAAATGGGGTTTCGACCCATTTTCAACTCTTTCCCATTTTTGAGCTCAGGTAAGGCGATTTTTGGGCGATTTTTACGGAAAAATATTGGGGTAAGTATTCCTTATCCTATATTGATTATATTTCACGATTTCATACTCATTTTTATCATGAATCCGTGAAATTTTGGAAGAAAAATCAGATTTTTATAAAATCTTCCAAAAACGAAAAATTAAGATTTGAAGGTCCATTTGATATCGGAATTGGACAAATTTTGTATGGTTGAACTCGTATCGAAATGGGTGTTCGCATTTCGCGAGTTTTTCTGGGATTTGAGACATGGGCCCCACTGCCGAATATTTTAATAAATTTCGGATTTTTATCCGAAAAATTTGTAAATTCATAAGGAATTAATTCCTATGATTAGTATTGAATATATTAAATTGTTTGTGAATAGATTCGAAGCTTTCGAAGACAAATTTAAAAGAAAAAGCTGTGGTTAAATAATTGATTTGGAATTTGCAAAGCGAGGTAAGTGTCGGGGTTAACTTTGACTTGAGGGAATAGAACCCTTAAATTTTTTGTTATGTGAAATGCATGTGAACGACGTATAGGCGAGGTGACGAGTGTCTATACGTCGTCAAATTGATTGTTTGCCTACTTACTTGAAAAATCATAAATTATTTTAAATCATGAATTAATTATTATAATAATTGTTTCTCTCCTATTCTTTGCCAAACATTAATCCTTGAATTCTTTCATGCTATTTGAATTATGTGTCTTAATTGTTATTTGACATTTAGCATATTAAATATTAAACTGCCTATTTTCTGCCTGATTTCCATAATAATTTGCTATTTGTCATTTTTTGTTTCATAATTAAATCATAATTACTGTATGCTTGTTGTCTTATAGCTTTATATTAATTGTTGCAATTATGGGGAAAATTTCTTCTATAAGAATTAGTAAATGAATATGTTGGAGGAGCGGGTTGCACGCCGCAACAGAATTGATTGAAATGGATATATATTGGAGGATCGGGTTGTACGCCGCAACAGACTTATTAAAAAGTTTATATTGGAGGATCGGGTTGCACGCCGCAACAGACTTATTAAAAGGTCCATATTGGAGGATCGGGTTGCACGCCGCAACAGACTTATTATGCAACAAACTTATTAAAAAGTCCATATTGGAGGATCGGGTTGCACAC